GCTGATTCTTTAGCTGGATTGCCACATAATTGCTCATGTGACTCCCCCCCCCCCCCCATACATCTTCTACCAACAGCGAAGAATAGTTACGGTTAAGGCTGTTAACAAGACGGGAAGGAATTTCCGTCCCGTGTCCCTCTATCCTGTTTTTTTTTTTTTCTTTTTTTAAAATACAATTTTAGGTATGAATTTTTTATATTATAATGTGTTTTTTTATTAGGTTTCTAAAGATGAAAATATTATTAAAAAATATTATGTAAAAAACTCAATTATATAATATAAAAAAAGTGTAAAAATAGTACTGTATAAAAAAAATACCGCAAAAAAACAGTGTAATAGTTTTATGAATTATTTTATTGAGAAAAAAAATTTTATTGTGATAACACTGCATCTGCAACTTAAGAGCTGAGAATCACTATAAAAAATAATTATTATTAATAGATAATTAAAAAAACCCAGAAAAGGATGATTCCATCCCGTCCCGAATTTTTTTTTTGTCCCTTCTTGTTCCATCAAGTTGAACACTCCTATTTACGGTGTGGAAGATGAAAAGAAGACTTCAAATAAATTTACTTCATACACAAAAGCTGAAATTTAAGCTTTTAATCACCTGCTTAAAAACCACGAGCTTCCACTTTTTGCATCTTTGACCAACGTATTACTGTAAGACGGTGGTGAATGAAAAGATGACGAGAGAACATGTAAATTTTTTTTTTTTAAATATGTATCGATTGTATTCCTGAAAGGAAAGTTTCAAAAGCATCATACTGTGACCGAATTCATAAGGGAAAGAAAAGGGTTTCAAAATGCCGTTTACTTTAAGGTGGTTAGCCGACAAAGCTTTCAACTTGTTCAATTTTAATATTTTTGGGGAAAAAAAGGGCAAAGCCTAACGTTCAGCCACAATGAGGCCTGCAAAAACAATGGGGAAGAATGCATGAACAAATTTTTATTGGCGACAAGGAACATAAAACCTAACCCTAACTCAAAAGACAACTTTAGAAATTCAAAGGGCCTGACAAGGACAAACTACACACTGTTTGTTGATGCCATGTCTATGTTCACATGTCCCTTATCTTCGTATCTACCAGGATATGTTTGGTGAGAATATATAGATGTTTGTATTATTATCAATAAAATTTAAGATAATATAATAAGATATAAACATTGCAATTTATTTTTTTAAACCCTGCATAAGGTTTAAACTTAGTTATTATTCAATAACTGTTTGCTAAAATAGATCTCATGCAATTCATGAAGTTTGAAATGACTAGCAATGTATATGATTTTTTTGTAAGAATCTAATTGGGATCTTATGCTTCTCAATTGAAGATCTCAATTGAAATGAATTCAATTTCTCAACTCAATTTTTGAATTGGTTTTAGTCTTAAATATAAAACCTATTTTTCATATTTATCAATTTTTTCTAAATTACCCCTCTGGATACTCCCTCAACCATAATCAAGTAGAAAGGGGAGAGGAGATATTAAGAAAGATGATTATGGTCTTTTAGGAAAAATGTCACTTTTCTTATAATTAACCAACTTACCTAACTTTCCTAATATAATCAAATTAGTTAAATGAGTCTTATGTTAAGGATTGGAGGAGTATGAGCTCAATTGATTTAGTGTGAATTAGGAAAAGTGGTCTGACGTTTGTTGAAAGATATTAGTGTAAGCTTTTAGATAAATTATGAAATAGTGAAAACTAAATGACTAGTGGTGGAGTGAAGAGTGGGATAACAAATATTAGAAAAGGGGAAATGGGAATGTGAAATCCAGTTGTAGGGAGGGCCAAGTGCATGTGCATGTGCAGCAACAAGACCCACAAGATTTGGCTTTTTAATAAGTTTGTGGGGACACCAAATCTTTGTTATTTCTATTCTCTTCATTCAACCTTTTCGGTTTTCAACTCATTTCTGTCTCCCACAGTCAAAGCCCTAACATGAATTCTGCTTGCTCTCGTCTCTCACTGGATTTGCATCTCTTCACCAAAGTAACAGTTAGGTATGTCTACTTCTACTCCCCCGGCCGTAACTACTTTAGAATGTAATTTACATTATTGAGTGAGTTTTATATTTAAAATCAGAGAAATAAAATTTTTTTTTTATCTGGAAAGTACCACATCACAACACCCACCAATTGTTCCTTATGAATATTAATAAAATTGTTGCCATGCCTGTAATTTAATCAGGGACGGTTTCAAGATTTTTTTTTGGAAAATAATTTATTTTCTACCCAAGTTTTAATATAATTGAATAAAGCTTAAAATAGTACTATAGAGATAAACACATAAATTTGATTAACATAATGGGTGTGGCATCATGATAATTGCAAATCAGATTGGATAAGGACAACGATACTTGGATATATTCTCAAGGATCTCCAAAATTTAAAAAAAAATCACCGCACAAGAGATTGAGGAAACGTTGAACGTGGAAAGCTATATACATAGAGTGCTAGATAGAAGAAATAAACGGCAATTTCAAATGAAATTCTTGCTATATAGATTCAAAGTTTCCACATAAGAACATCAATTTAAATTGTACTATTGCCCTTATGCTGTACAAGCTCACCCTGTTACTTTTCTCATAGCAAGAGAATCTCAACCTCCCAGCTGTTGAATTCAATATGGTGAATAGTGGGGTTGAGTTTCCCTTAAAAGGTTTCAACTGAACTTGTCCAAAAAAATGGTGAAAAATAAAATCACAGAAGAAAGAAAGACAGAGGAAATGTGATAATAACTTTAGGAAATCAAAACGAAAGGTGATCTATGAGGGATGGCTTTTCTTGGGCGTTTTCTTGGAATCACAACCTCAGCTCTCTCATATGGCTCTGCCTCAGAGATTGATGACTCAGTTTCTGAGTTCTGATTATCATTCAGAGAATGGTCAGAAACTTCTGGTTTTGGAGAATTGATTAATTTTGGCTCCGCTGAAATCACTGAGATCTGGAAATTGCACATGATTCGAATGAAAAAATTGTTCAGATTCAAGAAAAGTAAGCAACACAATTGACCGCACTTGAGAGTATCGCAGTTACCTTGCATGATATGGAACAGAAGCAATTACGCTCATCTTGTAAATGCTTTCCACATTCTTCACAAACACCTCCTGACTTTGATTTGCTCGACGGTTTGGTATCTCGGGATAGGGATTCAGGAGTACTTACATCAACAAATTTCTCTCTCTTTGATGGTTTGGTACTCTTTGATGAAAGCCGAGGATTGAGATGTATGATCTTTTCATTATTTGATATGTAGGTCTGCCGAATCACATCACCATTGTAAGGAAACTATGCTCATCAATCTCAAATTCAAGTGAAAAGCTTGCTATGATCGTGAAAGTTAGTTTGCTGAATAAGACGTACTCAGAGAGAAATGAACATCAGTCAGAAAACTTATTTCATAGATTTCCAAATCAGAAAATTATCGGGCAGAATCTAAGAAGGATAGACACCACGCACGATAAAGTCTAAATTGTGGAAATATAACTTTAAGTATCATCTCATATCTTATAGGAGTGCTTATCTATGTGTGTAGATACAAATACCACGCAGCTCTTTTCAAATGTTCATGCTTCATAGATAGAAATTCGTTTCATAATTAATAGGATAAAAGATTTCTGATGTAAGCTCATTTTGGCAAATTTAGCTCATTGAATTCAACAAATTAACATACCATTGATGTTTAGGAATGCTGGAGAAGAGATACATTTATCTCTTAACATTAGTCTCACCCAACCCATAGATACATTTATACCCGATTCTACAACTAATTGGAGAATAATTTAATTCTACAACTAATTGGAGAATAATTTAAGTTAAGCAAGTACAAAATCAATTTCTTTCTAATAATGAATTAAAAGCTATCTTGTGTTAAAACAGAAGAAAACCTGAATTCTTGAGGAGTCAAAATACTTCTGCAACTCTGAATGGCGAACAACATCTTGGTAAACGTATTTGTATATCTGAATCCTTCTATGGAGGGTATGAGCTCCCTTGCAATGCCTGCACAAGCTAAGTTCACAATCTATACAGAAAACATTCTTCTCATTATACCTAAGGTGTTGATGATCATCACAATGGCCAAAAGTGCTATGCAAGAGAGTTCTAAGCCATTCTGTGCTCTTCTTTTCCTCAGGTAATAGAGTGTGTCTCACCTGCAAAATTCAACAATTTTCCCCAGAAGGAATTAAAAGAATCCAAGGCAAAATACAGTTCAAGAATCAAAGGGGAAAATTCCAATAGCAAGCCTTCTCCTTCGTCAAATCACCAGATGGCTGATTTGTTTACACACAATAACCCAGTTTAATTAAACCATAATCAAGATAGCCAGTAAACTCAGTTTGGAAAATTCATATTCCCCTTGACTGACACCGAGTAGATGACAGAAAAATCACTCCAATGCACAATACAGTTCAAAAATGAAAAACAAAAATTTTAACAAGAAGTCATCTTCCTCGTCAAATCAGCAGCAGATGAATTTGAGTACACTCTATCTCAGTTCAAACCTTATTCAAGACAACCTATAAACTCAATCTTCACAATTCATATTCCTCTTGACAGAAACCAAATTGGAGACAGAAAATCACTCCAAGAAGTGTAATTGATTAGTGTTAATATCATATTCAAGAATCATAAGCGCAGTCCAGCCAGAAAGCTCAAAACATGGAAATGAAGTCAAATAAATAGAATTAAAATTGAAAAAAAATGCAAAACCGATGAAGCCCATCAATCAAAGAAGAAAGAATTCTTTTCGTGTTCTTACCATCTCTGGAGCACGATTTTGATTTCAGAGAACTAATAGAGGCGGCGGGTGGTTGATGAAGAAGCACAAAACCGAGAAGGCTCTAGTGTGCAGTGAGAAGTTCAAAGGCAAGAAAAAAGCGAGGCATATAGAAAGAAATATGGGGTTAGATTGATAGCATTATAAAGAGAAATGCAATAATTAGAGAACCCGGGAAAAAAAAAAAAAAAGGAAAGAAAGGAAAAAAATTGAAAATGGAAACAAAGCCCTTTTACAGAGCAGCGTTGCTGTATGCGTTTTGTCAGCAGAGGGGTGGCCTACCATCGGCGGGAAGAGCGAAGAGGTCAGGGCCGTTGGATTGGACCGCCATCGTACGGTGTCGCTGTTTCAGAATCCTTGGGGCCAATGTACTGAATATATCGTGGGACCCACGGCAGGAAAATGAGACCTGAAACGCGGCGTTATCACAAACGTACCCGAGGCCCGACTCCCAGTTCCCGCCAATTTGACCGAGAATTTCGGAGTTGCTATTCTTTTTTTAATTATTATTATTATTATTCTTTTTCGCTTTGCCACCGTTTTCTTTTTGGAAATTATTCACAGTGATTTACGGACACTAATCAATTCACGAATCGTAAATATTATTTATTGCCAGTTGCTTTTAGCATATGTTATCTATTATTTAATTATTATCGTGAAATACTCATATATATAAATAATACAAGGTGAAAACAGACTATTTGTCTATATGATATCAATATCTAGATTCTGTCAAATATTCTTCACATAAATATTGTAGGAAAAATCTCAAAAAAAAAAGTACTATTATAAATCAGTTTTATTTACTACACTTTAATAATATTTGATTATACTTAAAAAGTAAATAATAACATATTTTTTAAGAAATTCATAATTTGAGATTTTGAAATTCAAGATATACTTTTTCAGGGTTTTTCAATATTGTTTATTTGTTGATACACAGAAATATGCTATATCCAAAAAAAATATTTGTGAACCAAATACTTCTCATAAAAATTCCATATATTATATATAGATGAATATAAATTTTTGAAAATATGAAATTACAAAGTTGTTTCTTTCATTAATTGTGGATTTATTTGGAATAGCGTTGAAAAGTATTTATAACCACGTTTTAAGTAAGTCGAAACAAACTTTTCTACCATACAGTAGGGGTGCACATGGGCTGGGCTGGGCAGGGCAGAACCCCTGCCCGATGCCCAGCCCGAAACATGAACGGGCTGCATTTTGCAGCCCGCTGCCCGGCTCTGCCCATAGAAGCCCTAACCATTTTGGGCTGGGCATGGGCGGGCTGGGCAGGGCGGGCTTTGCTGCCCAAATGGTGATGACCTACCGATATCACATGTAAAAAAACTTTCATCCATACCTGAAAATTACATTTCATAATTTTATATTTTCACACATTAAAATTATCCAAAAATAATTCAAAACAAGTCTTAGGAAATATCCAAATAAATAATATTCATAATCTATTTAGAACAAAACAACTCTCAAGATTGTAATTAAAGTCTTGAAATTCAAACGGTTTGCATTAATCTCCAGAAAGTTGAGAAAAGAATAAAACATCTGAAAAATTGAAGAGGGGTTGAAGCACATTGAGATATTCCATTGGGAGCCAGGGATGGCGATGTAATAGAAACTTGATTATCCATTTAAGTGGCAAAAATTAAATGTTACCTAAAGGATTGCAAAAAGATATTAAAACTGAAGCAATAGGCTAACAGGAATAACATAGACCATATAAAAATGGGGTGAAAATAATTGTAAAAAGAAAAATAAAAAATCTTATAATCTCATAATAATGTAATATAACGACTTTTAATATGTAAATACTTATTATGCGATACAATGCAGTTAGCAGTCCATACAACTAAAAGACTTCTTTCTATCATATGACTTGTTCATAAAAAATTAATACAAAATAACTAAATATAAATTAAATAGGAAACATGTAATTCAGATAATTAAACCCCAATTTTCTTTCCATGCTCCTACCCCAATCTTGTTTTCTATCTTGCATAAATATTCAAAATTGTTTATTTATACAAATATAATGTATGAATTTCATTCTCTAACAAAGAAAGTTGTTAATGACATAGAGGGGAAGATTGACTTATAAATAGCCAACACTACAACAACAACAAACAATAGGATATGCACAATAAAGCTCACGAAGAACAAGTTAAAAACAAGATACTACTGCTTCTTTAGAAGAATTAGATCCCCTAAAATAGAAAACTAATAGACATGTAATAATAATAAGTTAAATTGCAAAGAGGAGGGAGATAACTTTTTTTTAGGTAAAGAAATGTAATATATTAATATTATTTTATAAATTATAATATATATAATCTGGGCAGGGCCAAATGGGCAGGGCAGCATGTCCTGCCCGATGCCCAGCCCTGCCCATGAAATGCCCAGCCCAAAGATGCCCATTCTTTTTCGGGCTGGGCTGGGCAATTTTTCTTCGGGCTCGGGCGGGCTCTGCGGGCATTTGGGCTTCATGCACACCCCTACCATACAGCATGTTTATGTTGTATTTTACAAATTACGTTTGAAAAACTACTTACAAGCTATTTCAAAAATAGTCTTATAGTGTACTAATTTGATTAGTTTTTTTATTTCTTCTTATGACATGCAATCAATTGTTATTTGTTCCCATGTTGATTAATATGATAATTATGAAAATGCTTGAAGTAGCCTGAGAATTAATTTGAAAGCAAACAAATCAGTGAAATGGTAAAAACCCTTTTTAACCTTCGTATTAATAATAAATTATTTCAACTTTAAATGCGGTGTTTCTTTCCTTCAATGTATCATTCATTCGGATACAATTTTTTCCCATGTCGGTTTATCATGTGTGTTTAAATCTAAAACTAACTGATAAAATAATTTCTATATTCAAATTACAGTAATCTTGAGTTTACTGATATGTGTGTGTGTAAATAAAATAACTCGGTGGTGTTGGAGATCCTTAAATTTTTATATATAAAAAAAAGACTTGTTCTAGCAAGAAAATGATGAATTAATTAGAATGTATTATATAAGAATAACTTTTCTTTATAGGCTATTAAAAAGGTTATTTATAACTAGCAATGCATAAAGACATATTTTGTAAGATAATGCAGATGGGTGGAGTTGGGAATTCATCTTAAGTATAGTTTCTCTTGAGATTATGTGGATTATTCTAATAATGTAATTTTTTATATCTTGATATTGTTTAGTTGCGGGGATTTCAAGTATGGATCGGTGAAGTAAGAAATTGTGGACTTCAATGTTGAAAGAGTTTGGAATGAATTAATGAGCTGACGCAAGGCATTTAGAATTGTACGTGTCACGTGTATTAATTTTTATTTTCAAAGTATCATGAAAAACTTGACATGTCTTTTTCCTCTTGTCCTTGACCCCCAACTACCATCTAGATTTTGAATAAATTCAATTAAACAACCATGAGTTATGGCCTTAATCACCATAGGGACAAAACTTAAAAATACTCCTCCAGCTCATTAATATGAGACTCAATTGTTGAGTTAGTTTTTGTCCTAAATATAAGATTCACTTCTCATATTTATCAATTTTCTCTGAATTACCCCCATGAATACTCTCTCAACCATAATCAAGTAGAAGAAGGAGATGAGGTATTAAGAAAGATAATTATGGTATTTTATAAAAAACATGTTACATTTCTTATAATTAACTAACTTACCTAACTTTCTTAATCTAATCAAATTAGCTAAATGAGTCTTATATTAAGAACAGGAGGAGTATATATTTTAAAATTATAAAATGTCTCACATTTTGATTTTTAAACTAACAACAGCACATAGAAAATGTGCAACATTCGTGATTGAAAAATATATATATACTCCTCCGATCCTTAATATAAAATCTATTTAACTAATTTGATTAGATCAAGAAAGTTAGGTAGGTTATTTAATTATAAGAAATATGACATATTTTTCTTAAAACACCATAATCATCTTCCTTAATATTCTCTCTTCATCTTCTGCTTGATTATAGCTAAAGGAGTATCCATAGAGGTAATTTAGAAAAAAATCGATAAATATGAAAAATAGGTCTCATGTTTAAGACCAAAATCAACTCAATAATTAAATCATATACTAAGGACCGGAAGAGTATTTAGACTAGCTAGAGATGTCTACGTAGCAAGAAAACTATGTGGCATTTTTGTTTTTTGAGGTTCAAATATATAAATCGATCCAAGGCCAAAAAAATATACTCTTCCGATCCTAAATATAATATCCTTATATACACTAATATAAGAGTCTTATATTTAGTATCGGAGGAATATAAATCAATCTTAATTTGGGTATTATTCTTGCGATCCCTGCTCCCAAGCATGTTTTCGGGTAATATGGTTTCTATTTCACTGAGGAGTAATATTTATGGAGAAAGAATTTGCGTAAATGTAAATTGATTCAAGTTCAACCTCACCGATTTCACTCACATTTCATAATATTCCTGGGATTATACTACCTCCACGTAGATAATTAATTTAATAATACTATAAAAATTAGTTAAATTAGTTATTTGTAATAAATTAATATTATTTTATGTAAAATATTCTTATCAATTACTCATAAAAACTCCTTAACATGTATAATAACTGTATAAATTATTTCAGGTAAAATAAATTAATATTGGAAATAAAATAGATTGGAGTTTTATATTTAAAACTAAATTGAACTTAGAACTAATTCTTATATTAAAAACAAAAGGCAGCATCTTAGATTGAACCCTAAATAACAATATAAATGGAAAATATTTTATTTTGTGTTTAATAAATAAAAATTAGAAGTATGTATTTTGTTCTTTAATTAATTTTACATAATGTTTTATTTTAGTTTTTTTACTTCAAAAAATATATTTTTAATCATTTAATTTTAAAATTATTATTTTTTTGGGACAAAAAATTCATTATTCTCAGAAGGTATTTTTTGTAATAATCAAAGTTGTTTTCAAAACTAGATACGTCAACATTTGATAACATTTTATTAACATTTAAAATTTCAATATCATTTTTTGTTAATAATATTAAGATTAAAAGATTAAAAATATTTTTTTAAAAATTAAAAAATCAAATTAAGATCTTATATAACATTAAAGGACAAAAAATTTTAGTCAAAATCGGGAAAAAAACAGTTTGACGAGAAAAAAGAAACTTTTTTTTTTTTGTTTATTGAGAAGAAAAGGAAACTTTAAGGAAAAATGATAAAAAAAGACAGCCAAAATAGAAAAATTGTAAATGGGAACTCATGATAATATTAATATGGGTTTTGATAATAAATTTTATAAAAAGATCCCTATATGTAATTTTTTAATTTTTAATTTTTTTTTATTTTCCCAAACTTTAACAGGAGGAAGGGCCAATTGGAATAGTATAACACGGCGCGAACTCTCGGTGGCATAACTGCATTCCTATGCCGTTGTTCTCAAATTACCGAACTGCCCTCGTCATTTCATGCACATCAAAACTACCATCTCCACAATCTTCATCAACGTTTCCATTTTCTCTCCGTGCTTTCTTGCCCGCCATTGTCGCCTCTGGCTTTGTCAAACATTGTATGATCTCAAAATGACTGTAAGTTTTCGCTTTTCCATGTTCTTTTGCTTAGATCTGCAGAGTTCGTCATACATTCTTCTCACTGTTTTTGGTGATAGTTCCTATGAATTTCTAAGTATCACTATCCATTGTCCTATGAAGTTTGTGTTCGTTTTACGATTCCATATGGATTTTCCGGATATGTTTTTCTTCGTTGTTTATTGATTGTTTTTAAGCTCTGCTTGGACTCTCAGATTCTACTTCCAGTACTAGATAATTTTTTGCCGGATGAGAATTTCCATCGCAGTTCTTTCATAATTTGCCTTCCTTGTTAACCATAGGCAGTGATACATAAACCCATATGATTTTGCAGCTCAAATTTTCAATAGATCTTCTTGAGTCGTCCATGTTGCAATAGGGGCAGTATAGTTTACAGTTAGTGGCAAAATACAATTGGAATTGGTAAAAACATAATGCTTAAGGAAGATCTTCAGATAAATTTATCATGGAAGGCTTTTTTTTCCCCCTTTCCTCTTTTTAACAATTTTCAGTTCTAGAAGAATAAAGCAATCTATATCTCCTTTGTTTTGATTCGCTGTTGGCCTTAAGGGGAGCCATTAATCACCTTATGGACAACCTAGCCAGTCAATGCGCTAAACGTGCAGTGCAAATGCCTCCACGCCCACCCACAAAACCTATAGATGTGGGGCTTGACGCAATCACTGCAAAGAAATAAAGTTGCATTGTAATTAATAGTTATATCTTTAATGATACCAGAGTGAGGTCATAAGTGTTAGTTTTCTGGGTCTCCCTTGTGTGTATGTTGGGGGTGAATAGTGGCCTTTGAGGGGCCAGCAATCACCAATTCGTCAGTGCAGCAGGCATGCACTATGCAGCCTCTTATGCCTTCTCATAGCTCGCATTGATGTAGGGTTTTGTACCGTCATTATAACGAAATAAAGATGCGTTATGACTAATATCTTTTGATACAACGTAAGTGCTTAATTCTAACATTTCCAATCTAAGCCTAAAAGCTTATATTTCTTATCTGGTTATTGGTATGCGCCTATGCGGGGTTACAGAGCTGGCTTCTTTTAGTCGCTGACTCGTTTCACTGCGAATACACCGGAATTTTATGGTTGAAAATAGACAAAGAAAATTCTTTGCAAGCTGATCTGCTTAACTAATCGGCCCCTAAATGATATTTACGCACTTATGAAGGAGGAACCTGGTAGATATTGTTTTAAATCTTGAATCAATGCGGTGGTATTGCTATATGTAATGATCCTATGCCAAACTGATTATTGACATGTTGATTTATGCTAAACAAGAAACGTAATGATTTATTAATGAACAAGTTGATGTGATAATCTAGAAATACCTGATTTAGCATTTCATATGCAGGCCTGTGTGGAGCATACCGATCAACAAGCATCTAACTGGACGATCCATGTTTCAGATGTGAGTAAAAAATTTGTTCACATTATGATGATAGAATCCATGATCACGGATCAATATCATGTTTTCTGTATAGACTCCTATGCATAATATAAACTTGCATGACATTATAAAACATGCCGTATTAGAATGAGCATTTGAAAACTAGTGAGTATATATGCCACACTTACGAGATAATCTAACTGCATCTTTGCTCAGTGGACCCAAAATGGCACGAACAGGTCTATTTTCATTTGCATTTTGATTCATATTTTATCTGCTGGTTTCGGTTATAACCTTGGTTACTTTTCGATTATGTCAAAGATCATCCTAAAAAACAATTCTATGTGCCTTATGTTGTGTATTTAAATTAATGCCAAATTGTTTAAGAGTTTATCTGATTTCGGTTATTCCTTGGCAAAGCATCAAGTTGATTCCTCTTTTATCTCTGACAGGTAAGAACAGTCAAGGTTAGTAACATATCACTGGCAACTTCTGTGAAGGATATAAGAGATTTCTTTTCATTTTCGGGCGACATTCAATATATTGAGATGATAAGGTCAGTTCGGTTGCATTTTTATGTTTTTGTTATAGGCGAAAGGTCATCCTCAATATCTTTGATGGTAATTCCATAGGGAAAGTGAGATCACTCAAGTTTCATATGTTACCTTTAAGGAATCAAAGGGAGCAGACACAGCAGTACTGTTGACGGTACATTCTTATGCATACAAGTGTTATATTAAAAACTAGATGCGTTCATACCAATGTACATAATTTTCCTTTAGCCCATGCCTTCCAGAAATCATAGAGACTTGACTATTTTTTTATACAGGGAGCCAACATAGGTGATCACTGTGTCAACATCACACCCGTTGAGAACTACCTGCTGCCTCCTGAAGCCCTTCCTTCAGGACCAGTAAGTACCAGATCATTAATCTAAATTTCGTTATGCATCTTATATGCAATTGCTTCTCTACTGTTGTAGCATTTTAGGCTGCTCAAAAGAGAATGATAAGCAACACTTTACAAGATTTACTTTTTGCTGATGAATACAGAAACTTGCTTGCTACTTCATGTAGTTGATGAACCAAGACTGCGGTGTTCGGTGTCTATGTCATGATGTTAATAAGATGAAAGTTTTCGGCACTTTTTTTTCCTTTGCATTTTCCTCCAAGATGATGGCATAAAATCAGCTTGAACTTGAGATTATATAAATGGCCCGTCCATAAAAAGATTGCTGCATTGAGCTAGATAACAAAATAAATGGCTATGCGATGGATGTGGTACTCATCAGCATTCGTTTGCTGAGTATATTCAATTTTTTTTTTCTTTTTGTGATTGGCGAGAAGAAATCTTCAGATCTTTAATTGGATCTATATGGATGGAGAAGTTAACTAGAGGATATTTGCTTTTTTCTTCACTTCATGCCCCTTTTCCAAAGTTATGAGTTTAACCTCCCATTATTCTAGTTCTAGATATCGGACAGAGCTTCTAATGAACACTGTTTCTTGCAGGAGAAAAAGCCAACTCCTGCGGCAGTTAAGAAGGCAGAAGATGTGGTAAGTACCATGCTCGCGAAGGGTTTCATTCTAGGAAAGGATGCAATCAACAGGGCAAAATCCTTTGATGAACGTCATCGTTTGACGTCAAATGCTTCCGCCACGGTAGCTTCCATTGATCATAAAATGGGTTTAAGTGATAAACTAAGCATTGGAACAGCCATACTGAATGAGATAGTCAAAGAGATGAATGACAAACTTCTAGTCACCGAAATGACCAAGTCTGCTCTCGCTGCTGCTGAGCAGAAAATGAGTAGCGCTCGATCCGCTATCATGAGCAATCCTTACTTGTTAACCGGTGCTTCATGGCTGTCAAGTGCCTATACCATAGTTGCTAATGCAGTTGGAAATGTCAGCATGATGACCAAGGAGAAGGTTGAACAGGCTGAGATGGAAAAAGAGATCATTTTCAAGGAAAATGCAGGGTTCCTTGATAAGTTTGGGAGGATGCACTTTGATGGAACTTCAGCTGCGGGCCTTCCTTTGTTTTCTGTCCATTCAGGCAATGTCCATATGTGATTGCAACTCACTCACAATGATCCCTCACGGAACATATCCTTGTCACCAATGCGGTTAGATTGATTATTAATCTTTATTAGTTACAGCCAAAGTTGATGCGACTTTGTTGAGCCGACGAATCTGTCAATGTTGAATCTAATAATGATGTAAAATTGTCTGACAGACTTAATCAATTCTTAAGTATACATCAGCAATTTACGGAAAAGATTCATTATTATTTGTCGACATTTTATTGAATTTTATTTATTTTAGGGTTAATATAATTTTTAATAGTGATTGAAATTTATTTAAGTCCATTTTAGTTTTAGTTCTTCGAGTTTCAAACATGTGATTTTAATTTTTGAAATTTAATCCGTCTTAAAATGTTCTCTAGAAATATAATGATGTTAAAATCTATATAAATAGAAATGAGTTCTCAAAACATGACACAATGGAAAATTTATCAAGCAAATATGAGGGGGAAAAAAAGAGCTAAACAATGATGTTTTGGGGACTTGTTCTTTGATTTTTTTTTTCCCTTCTATTATCCACACAAGATTCAGTTAGATATCATCTAATGAGTTCACATTACCACCTTAATACCATTTATGACAATTCAACAGATTTTAACACCATTACACTTTTAAAGACTAACATTTGATTGACTTTTAAAGATTAAAACTATAAGTTTAAAATTTGAAAGAGCAAAACCAAAATAAGTTGACCAAAAATTATATTAAATCTTTATTTCATCAAAACCCTTTTCAGCCAAGTTTGATAGCAGACATTTTAAACATTAACGTGCTGTTTGACAAAGACAAATTCATAATGCAAGAACTAAATTTTGTATTACCCTCAAGTTTGTTTTGGTCAGGCCAAGAACTAGTTGTTTTTATAGGGCATTAACATTTTCAGAAGAATCTTGTACCTATTGCTAAGTTTTTACAGGATCACTGAAAATCATTTCATCGAAGTGAACACAAGAACCCCCCAGCTGATACTTTAAGGGGATTGACAAACTCAGAATTTGAGCACATCAAAGGAATCTTTTGAATAAAAAATAAATACGCAAGGAAAAGATAAATCAGATATGACTCGATTCTTCCTACAAATCTAATGACAAGCGGCTATAGTTTTCTACTTTTTATTCATTTGTTTGTTTATTATTTCATATTTCTGAAACAATCATATCAAGAACGTTGATGTCAGGCAGCTTTTTTTATTTAAAAATAATTTATAATATAATATCCATAATTTTTATAATTATTGATTCGCTTCCGTATTAAAAAGTTACTAACAATTTTTTTTTTGGAATAATCATTGTCATCGCCGGCAGAAAAAAATATCATCATCGTCGTCGACATAATATGAATATGCCCTGAAAAGAGTGGGAAGGTTTATATAATTTTAACAGATTTGAACGGTAAGTTTTGTATCTTGCTCTAATTATGACTAGCATTGTACCGATGACGCAGGAAGATGTTCTTATAAATCATGTCTAAAATATTGTCTTGATATTTAAAAGCTGTGATATAATAATTAATATGAAATATGAAAAATGATTCTAACAATAATTCAGGTATTAATTGTTGAAAATCAATAAAATAAAATGCTGCCAAGTCCGAATTACTGAGTAGATGGCGAAATAGGATGCTTACTGAGTTGGCTTTCACCTGGTAATCTGCGGTCTTGTCAGGGAGACTGGAAGGTGAGGCCGTGCAAACATAAAAGGATCGGTGAGGCTCTTGATCCCAACATCTAAAGGGAGATCGGTGAGGCTATCAAACCTTCACTTGCCGATGCCTCGGTGATGTCAGATTGACGCTCGGCTCTTTTGGTAATTCTCCTTTGTCGTTTGCATACTTCGATTCTTCCCCTCCTTTACAGAAACGCGCGCCCGCGCGCTCTCTTGGGCTCTTTTCATTTCACGTGTTCTGAAACTTTGATCGTTTGATATTCGAAATGGCTATCGGTCTTTGACATGCAGATTCTAATTGAGCTATGGTTGAACTTGAACATTTGAAAGTTTAAGCTTGGACTGATGCTCGGAATAAGTTAATCTGTTCTTTATTGGGTCATGTGCGCTTGAATCTAATTTGATTTTATGTTGGTTTCAGCGTTAGAAATCTCTTTGACGTTTGCACAGTGCACATATTTTGTTTTCTGGTGAGTATGGGAGAACTTGCGTTGCGGGTGAAGGTTCAGACTGCTTCTTCTTGTTTTTTTTTTTTTTTTGGGTTCTTTGTTTGCACTGGTTAGTGATAACGAAGGAGGAAAAGAAATCGGGGCAACAATAAAGGTTCCATGGAAACGTAAAACCAATTCTTATAGTAGTGCGAAGGAAAAAGCTAACTGTGCTTCCTTTCGCTATTGTGCGTTGTAGTTTTTCAACGAATCTCAGGGTTTGAGCGACGGAAGTCTTTTTCTCTAACTTCAATGTAGCATTCCGCTTCTAAGTTGCTTATCCTTGCTTATGTTACCTTTGTGCCTTTGTCCTTGCTATCACTCTGCATGTTCTCTCCATCGACATTAACCTCAAAATTCATAAGCAGCTGTAGTTAGTGATGAAGGACCAGGAAGGTGTCCACCTTATCCTTTCTTCCTATCTGTATGAGACAAAACAACCTGAACTGCATCACTTGATTACCCTAAGGCGTTATTTTTCCCCCATCGCTTTTGTGAACGTAGGTTATTGCATCACTACGCTGAAGCTTTTTTCATAATTTTTGTCATTTATGTTGCTGTTGCCCATGATTCAGTCAAACACATAATTTATAGTCAATCATAGTCTCGTGAATAATTCATGGCCCGAATTAATTAGGCTTTTAGCATGAGTTGTCATGTCTTTGAACCCTCTCTTTTTAGTCTGTGTTTTTATGGTGCCTGGACTTGTGCCTCTTTTATACGTATATGTCTTGTGACTCTGAATTGTTTGTTGTTTAGGTGTTCTTTCTCTATCTTACGTCATTAGATATTGGAAAGGACAATGGGTTTATCATCTGCTGCTGTTTCCAAGGAAGCCATACAATTATGCGTATTTGATTTGAGGAGAGGACAGCATGAAGGGCAAGAGCTGGATAAGATTTTGTTTTTCTTCCCAGCTGATTTGCCCTTCTCTAAACAACTTTCTGTTATTGGGCTTAGTGAAGGACTGATTACATTTACAAGGTAAGCTTCACTGTTATCATGTATGTGACTTGAAAGAGAAGTTGTCTAGGATCTAATATCTGCATAAAAACTTGATATTATTGTGGGATGGTGATATATCCGTAGGACTTTTGGTTCTTATATTTGTTTTTAAAGCTTCAATTTGGGGCTTATCTGTAATAACCTATTCTACCAGTTCAACCAGGTTTTCGTGGTCCTATAAACATTCCATCTTGGATATTTATGATTAAGTTCTTACTGGTTTTTGAGAAGCTTATACCCTGAGTTTGCAGGATTTTCTCTCCAGAGGCTGCATGTGAAGTCATTGAAGCAGAAAGGCATTCTCATGTCTTTTACGAGGCAGAACCAGATATATGGATGGTGATGGTATGTAATTTATTTTTCTCTAAATTTCCGGAGCTCATAGATCTATTTAATGAATGATTAGATCTAAATTTTATTGCGAACTTGTAAGACATTGTTATCATTATGGAATTTTTTTAATGATTCAAACATTATGTGTGATGTTCTTCTAAAGTACTGATGCCATCCTTATCTTGTCTCCTTTTCTTATTTGGAAGTTAAATTATCAGCTCATCTACTTTCTTGCAGTCATGTCATGTGGTCGTTTTTGTGTAATAAAGGCTAAGCCCTTTCAGCAATTTGTCTTTCAAATTTCAAAACAATATGCCGTATGGGGTGTGTTGTGGTTTTTTATCTGGTAGAGGGCATTTGTTGGGGTGGAAATTGATTTTTTTTTTTTTTACTTATTCTGTATCTCTTTGATTTATGCTAATTTGTTCATAATAGTTTCATATGATAGCGGTGCATTTTAGATGAGACTGAATAATGATGGGTGATTGATTGCTGCAAAACATCTCCTATTCATAGATCTGCGCCTGCCTTTTAGATGAGACTGAATAATGATGGGTGACTGAATAATGATGGATGTCAGGATTTGCTTGTACGTGTGGGTTTGGTTTGAGCTCATGCAATATGCTTTTCAACAATTAATTAACATCCTCCTTGAGCTAAATGAATATGCAGTTTTTGAACATTTCTTAGTGAATACTTCATTGATCATATTTGTAATGAATATATTACTAGATCAAATTTAGTTTGTTGAATATATAACATGAGTGAACTTGCCTTTAATTTTAAGTTGTTACCTTATAGGTGGTTGAGAAAAATAATGATGCAGAAACTACATGGCGGGATGATGCATTGAGAAAGGTTCTCAAGGAAATACACTCGCTTTTTGTTATGTTTCATGGAACTGTAAGGGCTATGATTGAGAAAGAACCTAGTGGAGGACTTGTCAGACGTCATTTGTATTCTTTTATCATGGATTATTTGAGGGGTAAGTCTTCATGATAGAAAAAACCTATGAAATCTTGATTTCCTGTTTGTGTTATGATTGAAGATGTTCATTGTAAGCCATAATTGTCAGCGTGTAAAAAGCGGTCTCCATGGGATAGTTGCTGCTGTGGTAATGGTGAAGTTGCTGTATCAAATGGTTTCTTTGGATCTATGCTGCCTGAGTGATGCCGAAGTAGCTCTATCTCTTACCTTAATTATGAATTTTCTCTTTGAGGCAGATTTTCTTGTGGGGAAAAAGCTTCTTTTACCATCATTTCGTGATTGTTTGAAGGAACGTGGGACTGTGCAGATGTTGACAATAGGTCGGGAGGCTGCTATTGAGGTTCAGGTTAGATGTAGTTTGAGCTATTGTCATATACACGAGATTTGAAACTACTGCAGTTATTCTGAATCTAGGATGCTAAGCCTCCTGGATTATTAACTACTTAGAATTCTTTCACAAAATCTTCCTGTTCCCGCTGTAGTGGTGATTTCATTGCTTGCAGCAATCAGCAGTTGGTCCCCATCTCACTTTTTCTCCTCTTATTTTCTTCATTTTGCATTTATTTCTATGACAAGTGCTAATTATGGCTGGCCATTATTAACTTCCTGAAGAACTAATTTTTGGTTGTGAAAGAAGGGGGTTCTACGTTTTATTTTATTGGCCTGATTCTGCCTTTTCGTTAATATTAAGAAATCTTTTATAGAATTATCATCCGAAACTAGAGCCACTTTGAGGACAGGTTATAGGAGCACGGTGAAGATTGCCAAAAGTTGATATTGTCTGTAGAAAATGTCTTATGTATTCTCTGTTCATTCTCCCTCATGTTACGTAATCCTACTCATACGATTATCAAAGATCCTATGGTTTCTCATTACGTAATCTGTAAATATTAAAAAGAGAGTGATTGACATGCACTAATCACTTTTTATTATCATGTTGACTATCTTGGTTAGGTGTTCTTGTTCATGGTTTAGTGTAATATTGTTTTCAGCAATCGCAAAGCATAAAATTTGGATCACACTGCACATGGGAGTGAGGGGTGTGCCATAATTGAGACCTTAGGTCTGATTCATGCCAAGAGGGAGGAAGAAACCTACATTTCTCAACTTTATCTTTTCATGCATGGGTTTTTTTTTTTTTTTTGCCCCCTGTTTTTCTCTCAACTCTCAGTAAAACAAGGTGATAGTGGGTAATTAGTAAGGACATAGCATTAACTTACATTTAGCTATCATTTACTTTGAACAGGGTAATGTTGTCATTGTTTATTCCCCAATGACAAATTGTAAAACTATATCCCTTAGTTAACTGCTTTTAAGCATTTGTATTAATCTTTGATGTTTGCTGTTCCCAAGACCATAATATTTTTCTGAAGGGAAAAAATTTGGCTTGCCACCAATTGATTGATTTTGTCTTGATTTGGCAGTCACTTGTTAGAGTGCTGGATTCTTCAGCTGGAAACGCTCCCTGCCATTCATTGATTTTATATCATGATCTGCTGGTGTCCACAACTCTCTCTCCTGTATGATTCAACCTCAAAGTGCAATTTCATTTTTTAATAGAATTTGTCTGGGCAAGTTGCTGATTTACTGTTAATTCTTTTGTCAGGATGACACCATAAACTTATTTACCTATGCTGTTCTAAGGTTAACCCCCCGTGCTTTATCCTCTGGAGCAAGTTCCTGGTCCTACTTACGCAAAGGCAATGCTGCATCTAATGCTGCTGCTGGATCTGACTTGACCCATCCAATCTCTTTTTCAGAAAGCTTTTACGGCTCATCTGATATGCCCCCCGGGGGGTATAGTCACTATCATGTTGTGAGGCCCTTACAGCCAGACAAATGGTCCAAAGGAAAAGATGGTTACCTTGTCACTGATTTATGGGGTGCTGAGGTTGGTACGTGGGTATATGCCACTCCAACAGTTGGGTTACGACAGACAGAGGATAGAATGTATCTCTGTGCTTATCAGCATAGAAGCCTTACTTTGATTATTCTTCTTCCTGTATCCTCCATTATCAATGGGGAGCAGGGTGTGTCAGTTGCCAAGCAACAAATACTTGAACATGTAGGTTCCTTCTCTATTATAGTAAATTTTGTTGCCTCATTAGCTTTTATTCTTTATTTAAGCTTGCACAATTATCCTTTTGCTAGTTTTTCCCCTAAATTTTTGGATTAATTTATCTTATCATGAGCTATTTCTTGGATTTTATATAAAGCCCGTAGTAACCGGGGTTGGGGTAGTTTTTCATTGTCTCTCCCTCTCTTTCTCCATTATTTGCTAATGGGTCTACATCACTGCTTTTTAAGTGGGGCTGAATTGTGGTTTTTAGTTTTTGGTTCTGCTTCAATTTATTCAAATGGAACGCTTTTGCAAGTTCACTTGTGAGTGGAGAGCTCATGAACCCAAATTCTCTCTAGGAACTTATAAAATGCTAATTGAAGCTTTGCTTCTGTAGTCCTCCTTCCTCTGATCCGCTGTTAAATTGTACAATCATAAGCATTTTTCTTATTTCAAAATTTCAAAAGGTGTTCTGAGTTGAAACCTAAGCAACCTAAGCCAATGTTTGTAGCATAATTATCCGCCTGCTGAGCTCAATCTTTTTCTTTTCTGAATACATCAGGCAGCACTTAAGATATTGAAAGTTGAAGAGAAGCTATCAAAAGGATGGGGTGGTGAAAATGCATATCATGTCAGTGGATATCGCTATTTATTAGTGGATAGTGACCGAAATGTATCCAGGGCCTCCCCAGCAGCAAAAGTTACAACTTTAACCAAGGTAAAGCATCTTCAGTTTTGACTGAAACTGTGCCTCGGCGTTGCATGGTTGCTCTATGTTATCCCCTGTGGCACCTTGGGGACATTGCTTCTGTTTAAGCAAAGGCAAGATGGTTTGCTATGATAGCTACACTTGAAGAAACGCTCCCAGCTTGTGAAAATTATTTTTCAAAATATCTATTCATGCCCGTTGATGAATGCATCCTAGATCATCAAGATTTTTTTTTTTTGAAAAAGAAGGTCGTGATGTTGAAACAGGCACTGTTGTTTATTCTATTTTAAAATTTATTTTAATCAAATATAATATGCATTTTATAAACTGAAAGACATGTTTGTTATTTAAAGATCAAGCTAAGCTTTAGAGCAGTGCGGTTTTTAATGGTTGGCACCACAGTGTACTTGCGTATTGGGTTCTTCTTGTCTGTTAATGCATGTTTGGTCATTCTTTATGGTTTGTTGCAGGAATCTTTACTTGCTATGAATAAGCTTAGGCAAGAAGTTGAGTTGGAGAAGAGTAGAGCAAAACATGATGATTCTGGTTGCGAGAAGGATTTGGAGATGTGCATTAGAGCTAAAAATAATGCTTGGGTCATTGCTCGAGTGACAAGAGGGAAGGAGCTTTACATGGTGCTAGAGAAAGCTAATGAAACCCTTCTTTATGCTTCAGATGCCGTTGAAAAGTTCAGCAATAGGTAGGTATCCCGTTTGTTCCATTGATGATGTGCCTAATAATGTGCCTTTTTTCTTTTCAAAATCTATTATGAGCATTATAAGGGAAAAATTAAAACAGAAGGGAAAAGAAAAGGCCCGAATATGCATGCTGAAGATTTCAAGTCAAGAACATTAGGTAATTTTCCTGGTGAAAAATATTTATACTGACATTTTTTTTTCCTAGAGAATAAGGAATTTGTTACTTTTTCTTCTTCTGTTGATTTTTTGGAAAAACTTCATTTAAATGCAATGCTTGGCGACATCGAGGGAAATTGCAAACTTTTTAACTCTAATAACAAATGGAAATCTATAGTATTAAATGTGTGACTTGCTACAAACGTTGTTCCTTTTGTTTATTCAAGTTGTATACTCACTCACTCTACTCGGAAGGACTAACTATAAACAGGTAATGAATTAACGAGCAAATTTTGAACGAATAATTCATGTAGAGGACAAATCACGCGCTAGAATTTAAAGATCTATGTATCAACAAATTGTCACCAAATCAAGCTACAGTAGGTTACCTCCTCCTGCGTTGTTCGATAGCAAAGGTGGAAGGTGAAATTAGGGATCGAAATCAGGAAGACTACTTGTTTTGTGGACATAAATGACGAAATTCATGCTGATTCATAAAGTCAGTGCATGCATTTCAATTTTCCTAGAACGCTTGGAAAAGAGCTATAATTTGATGTTGATTGAATGTTGCAGGTATTGTGATGGGGCTTTTTCTCTGGACTAGAGTATCTTCCAACTACGATGGAGCTTGATTAGCATTTTCCTAACTTTTTTCTTCTCCTTAGAGTTATACTTTTCCCACTGTTAAATTTGCTAACAAGGATAATGACGAAAGAATGAAGAATCATGCTGTATGTATGTATATAAGTTTTGTTCTTCAGCTCCGTTTGCGGCCCATCTTCTCTCCAGAGTAGAGTTGACTGACTGTATAAGCCATTCTTTTCCAGACGTTTTATTTATCAGAGGGAAGATTCTCGCCTGGATGTAATACTAGGAGGGAGCATGCAAATTGTATCTGCATTTAGGATCCAGCTCTGTGGCTAGTTTATTCTTTGAACTTTCTATGAGCATTCCATGCTGAATGTTTGGTATTGGATATTAATGTATGAATTTGGATAAAAATAGCTGTTACTAAGAATAAGAAGTCTTGCCCTTTATTTATTTTTTTGGTGAAAAGTCTCTTGCCATTTATGTTCCACTCAAACAGCTCTTTCTAATAATAAGTAAAGTTGAGCCACTAATCAAGTTCTGTTTTTTTTGTCCAAAAAAAAATTGTATTCAACTTCAAGTATAAGCTCAATCTGCAAAATGGAAACCATATTTATGCATCTAGTACTAATCTCAGAAAGTAAAGAGTTATTTAAGAAAATATGGGGCATGCAAATTTGAAGTTCATTCGACACTGAATAATTACATTTATCTAAGTATCTAATTATTTTACCATAACGATCATGATACGTATTCCATAAATTTGTACTCACAAAATTCACACAAAAAAATGAAGTCTTTTTTCAATTACAAAAAAAAAGAGAATTGTAATGAGATTTCAAGTAACAAAAATAATTACTAAAAAGTTTTAATAATAATCTAATAACTTGTAATGATAAATTTTAAAATAAAAATAACTTTTAAAACTTGTTTTATAATTTTGTTTTTTTAAGATTTCATTATAATTCGTCTTAAATATATCTGAGTAAGGGTAGCCTTTTACGTCATTGGCGGGGAACAAATATGGGCCAAATTGGCGAAATGGACCTACCCGACTGGCTAGGGTTTAATCTCGGAAAAGGGAAACGCAAAGTGCGGTAGGGTTTTGCGATTTCACTATATAAGATGAGCTGTCCTGAGGCATTGGAGGGGCTCTTGTATCGAATCTTCTGATCTTTCTCGCTCAGCGGTATCCCATATGTTGTAGCCTCGCTGCATTTTTCTTCTTCCGGAAATTTCCTGAAACTTCTATGTTAGTGTTTATGCCTGTGGGTGTTTTGGTGCTGTTTTTAATATCATTCTTTTATCTTAAAGATTTCCTAGGATGTTCTTGTTCTGGATTTACATGATTCGTTTGTCTCTGATGAGGATGGAGTTTGAATAAACTTTCGTTCTTCTGATAAACATTTCATGAAGAATGTTTTTGGAGACCTGAACTGAAGAGACATTTTGAATGATAAATACACCCTTTCTTAGGTTTGTGCCTTTTTTTTTTTTTGCTTCCGTTGGGTGCGTCTATTTTTTTTCCTATTGGTTTTGGGACACCGGGGCCTAGATCTCAACCTTTGAAGCAAGACAGAATTTTCAGCAAACGAATCCTTGTACGAAAACAAAACAAAAGAACTTAAGTGAACTGGCAAAATAAATCAGCAAATGGGCACAATTGTGAAGTACGTAATTGTCAGAAAATTAAGGCTTTGTTTAATTTTCTTATCCCGGGATCCGGGGTTGGCTACTGAATCGAAATGCCTCTGATGATGATTAAATAATAACTTTCGTTCTTCCGAGTTGTCCATGTGGAAAACTAATGGAGACCTGAACTGAAGAGGCTTCTTGTTAAGTATTTCCTCCGCCTTCCCCTGAGTTAAGGTGCGGTTCTGCGAATCAAATAACATTGATGCTAGCTTGGCTTAAGCAGTTTATAATTTCATGTGCTTGGAAATATGACGTGGGGGCTTGTTTCTGAAAGCAAGCTGTCTTTTGTCTTCCGTGGCATCTTTAACTTGTTGCTCTGTTTGAGGATCTCGTCACCTAGTGCTTAGGAATCCAATGGCCATGAAGAAACTTTCGATTGACTGATTTGTCTTGTCCATGTAGAAAATTCAAGGGGAGCTGAACTGAATAAATAGGCTTTCTGCTCTATATTTTCTGACCCTTTTGACTTTGGTCAGTATGGATCCTCAATAATATTCGAAGGAAAAAGAGCACAATTGGGCTGATGGATCATTTCGTTCGTTGGTTGCACTCTTCAAATGTTTTAGGGGAGCTCATTTTACCTTTTTCTGCGTTGAACACTTTCATTTTAATATCGCTGTTTTATTTACCAAATTTCCCTGATCCGTCAACTCTTCTCATTATTACTTCTAGGGAGTTCATATCCATTTGCAATGTTTGCGGCCTTAATATCTACAATTTTCCTGAAATTTATTCATGAGTAATTTTGTTGCTCTAAGATTCATTATTAATAACATGTTATTTTTCAGATCAGTTCCACCACCTTATTTGAAATAATTTCTCAACTAAAGTACAGTTTTGTACAAAATGAGATATCCATTCCATAGCTGCTTGTTTACAGCCGCCCAATGGATGAAGATGTAAGTTATATTGTGCTCTAGTCATGAGTACTGCATGAACTTGTGCATAATAGTCTGGGTTCAATATGCGTGTTTTTCCTACTTGTTCTGGTGGTTTAATGATGTTAAAGTCTTGAGAGAAATAGTATGGCGGAAAATTGGACAATGTTTCCTCTTTCTATGATTTGCACATGTGGTCCGAATTTCATCAATGCTGTAAATACAACAGATCTTATATTCCCTCTTGACTTATTCGTGGGAAGGAGCGTAGGAAAGTGTTCACCTTGCTTTAACTTTTCATCATACTTTGTCGATTCAGAGGAGTGAGAATGAAGAAGAGGAATTCGATACTGGACTTCTGTGCTCATGAGTGTAAAGAAGAATAACACACAGGTATATTCTGAGACTGGATGACAGGGTCCAGCTGTGTCTGCACTACAAGGGGCCTTTGATAGGCATTGCAATATGGTTCTTGAGAATGTCAGCCAAAGCATTCTTGGGTTCCCATCTGGTGCCAAAGATTAGTAAAGGAAAGTAAAGGCACAACCGTCATTGTTCTGAGGAAACCCCGAGTGCTTGGTCCATTGACCATCAAGTTTGCATCCATTTAATATTAGATTAAATTGCTCTTCTAGGTGCTCATGTTAATTCTGAGTGAGCCGTAACATGTGAGCATTGTAATTTTCTGATGTAGGAGTTGTAAATTTTACACAGCTTCCATGTATACTACTTATTCTTTTGTCCAGCCTTCGACAACATAGATATTTTGAAGGAGTACCCCTGAAGTTGGTGGCCGGCACCCTCTCTTGCCAACTAAATGGATTCTTCTCAGCATCCTCATACGTGTCGTCTCTTGATTAGATAATCAGAAAACGTTACAGTACTCTTGGAAGCACCAAATCCCTAGGGTTGGCGGACATGTCCCATAAAAGGTCAAACCGAGCTGCGAATCGGCATGCTCTCAATGAAGGGTGAACGACTCGCCACATGTCCCATCTCCGAATGGTAATCAGAAGCGTGTCGGAGGACTTAAGAGTGACAATACTCTTCTAATCTTGTTTATAAAACATTTTCAGCATGTATCAAATAAATTAAGAAAAATCTTAAATTTATTAATTTTTATTTAAAATTTAATAATTTTTAATTTTATCATTATAAACTATTATAAATGGGACTAAAAGAGTATAAGTTCGGACAAGCTCCTCGGAGAGGAGCCCCACGCAACCGTGATCCCTAGCGGATCCACCATCTTACTTTTTTCGCATCTCAATATTAATCACGCGAATGTTTATTCTTTAAAAAAAAAAATTTTAAAAAACCTCCAATGCCGACTAAATTTAACACTAACGTTACCTGGCCCAAATTGAAAACAAAGTGATTCAATAACAAGTTGACTGAAAAAACACTCGAAACGCTATTTCAGAGTTGCAATTTTTCGATATTTCGACAATTTATCAACTGAGCGCTGACATCTTTTACTCATAATATATATTTGTTTGAAGAGTGTTCATAACATGATACTTCTAAAATACAGAAGTTGTATTTGTCCGCTCTTTTCGGTCCAATTAGTCAAATCTCCAGTGACAATGAATTTTGTCACTGGAGAACAAATATTTAATTAAGTAATATATTCATAAATAAAAGGACAATAATTTTGTGCGTGTGTATTAAGCTTGGAGAACAAAACCAACTTAATTGTCGTTGAGTAACTTTATAATAATAATAACAATAATCTAAAATCGTGCAGTATCGAGTCATGAATTTATCAAACCGCAATTTTATAAAATATAAATAATACCATTAAGCTAAATTCGGGAAAAAAAAACCTAAATCCATATCGTTCATAAAAAAACAAATAATCCAATGCCCCAGTAATTCTTTCAAAGCACCAAAGTGAACAGACGCGCGATCCCTAAATCCCCTTGGTATACCGGGGAAAAAAAATCAACGCACGCACAAGATTTTCCATCCCTCCAGATCGCGGATTTTGGAAATAATGATATTTTCTCCTAGGCTACTACTGCAAACTTAAAAAACAAAACAAAATCCACAGTATTACTCGGGGAAAAAAACTTTAATCAAAACGACCAACAAAAAATAATTAAATTCAGCATAAAATATGCACCTCAAAGCAGTACAAAGCCTACCAACTTAGAGATCCTTTTTAACCCTTTCTTTTAAGCTACTCAGACTAACTAGATCTCACTGGAAGTCAAAAATAACCGCACCCACAATCATACAAAAATGATTAGTTGCAAAGTGGTGAAATACGCAAATCCTCTTACTTGAGATGCAAGAACTCATAGTAACATCTCAGCAATCTGGACAGCATTAAGAGCAGCTCCCTTGCGAATTTGATCCCCACAGACGAATATGTCCAACCTATAATCCCACCATTTATATAGAATAATTATCATAAAATATGATGATACCTAGGAAATTATGGAGTAAATTGACTGATTCTGAAAGAGGTTTACCCGTGATTCCCATCTTGAGACAAGTCACGGCGAATCCGCCCTACAGCAACATCATCTTTATTTGACACTTCCAACGGAGTAGGAAAATGATTCGATGCACGGTCATCAATAACCACAACACCTGGAGCTTTCTTTAGAATATCTCTTGCAGTATCCTGAAGCAATTGGAAAATTAATCAACCCAGGATATTGCAGGTTAGTTCTCATAGGTGTTGACTCTCAAATCCATCATAGGTTATCACCCAGAAAAAGTCAGAATGGATGAAACAGAAAGACTTAACTTACACTACAAAATGGGTCTTATATTTAGGACCAGAAGGAGTAATAAGATTGAGTTTTAGGAAAAGCTAAAAAAACACTGGACAACATGCAAAGCTAATTCTTTTACGAGTTTCAGAGGCAGACAATACTGATAAATCCAATTTATGTGTTAGAAATATGGAACGTATTTAGATCCGATGAGGCCTAAAAAGTTTTTAGATTTGAGACAAAATGCTACTACAACTTCGTTAATATAAAAAAAAAAAAAAAAAAAAAAAACAAACAAAAATTGTGTCCCAGAAAACATATAAACATGACAGCATAAACTACCTCGTCAAGGGGTTTCTCAAATTGGAGGTTTACACTCTCAGCGTGAGCCCTCATGACAGGAACTCGTATGCACGTAGCAGTTACTCTAACATCCTTGTCATTCTGCAGAAGATTCAAATAACATAAATCAGAAAAGGCTCCAGATAAGTATGTAAAACTAAAAGCACAATGCAAAATCATTGTAAAATGAGCTAATAAAGAAAATGCCTTTCCAACTTACCCAGATCTTCCTCGTCTCCTTTACCATTTTCATCTCCTCTTCATTATAGCCATTTGGGAGAACGGATGCATTATGTGAGAACAGATTAAAAGCATACTGCAAAATAATATTATTAGAAAGTATTCCTTTGACATTTGATACTAGTAATTATATCGAGATCGGGCCAAACCTGTTCCTTAAATATTTGACAAGTTGGCGGCCTTCCGTCCAATACCTTAATTCACACAAATAATGACAATTCATGATTGAAAGCAATGAAATTGGTTTCACCACTCAAATGATCATATTGATAGAACTTGAAAAAGAAAATGACAATCTTCTCAGAGACTGAACCTCACGAGTTTGCTGCTCAAGCTCTTCCATTGCAGCTGCACCAGCACCGCTAGCAGCCTGATAAGTGCTAACAACCATGCGCAACACCTGGAATGTAACTAATGATTGAGAAGCTAATCATGCATAAGAAAAGCATGAAGGATGCAAGTAGCCAGGTAAACATCAATTCATAATCAAGCACACCGAAATTGATAGTCTAGCTATAGTATGATTTTTATCCGATAGGATGAATAGTTAGCAACAGTAAAGAGTGAAAGTTTTCCAATAAATTTCATTCACAATGTACATTGATCAACGAGCAGTTCCGAAATCAAACCAAGTAGACAAAAAAAGAAAAATCTAACAATGATTAATAACAAAACACGTCTCAATTTGTATCATAGGCTTAAATAACCATCTCCAACTTCAAACCTTAGCTCGTCGATGAAGAGGAGTAGCGGCCATTAAGCATATAATCGTCGAGCAATTGGGATTCGCGATGAGCGCCCCTCTACCCATTCCAAGCTTAATATTTTCCATGGCCTCAGGATTCACTTCTGGGATCACAAGTGGCACCTTCTCGTCCATCCGGAACGCCGAGCTATTATCCACAACAATAGTCCCTCGATCAACAGCAATGGGCCCGAACTCTCTGCTGATCGAACCGCCAGCACTGAAGAGAGCAATATCAACGCCTTCGAAGCTCTCGGGGGTGAGTTCCTCGATGACATATTCATTGTCTTCGAACGTGAGGCGTCTGCCGGCGGATCGTTTAGAAGCGAGCATTTTGATGGAACGGTAAGGGAAATCGCGGTCAGAGAGTACGGAGAGGAATTCTTGGCCGACGGCGCCAGTGACGCCAACGACGGCGACAGATGGTCCGCTTTCTTGAAGGGACATTCGGACCTTGGTGGGAACCGCGAATCGTCTGGGCTTGCCTCGGATAAGAGGGGTAGATGCAGAGAAGAAGTGGTTCTGGAGAGGAAGAGAGAGAGAAGTCATTGTGGAAAAATGTTGGGAATCAGAAGAGATTGAGATGGAAGAAGAGAGTGAAGTAGGGTTTAAGGAGAGAAGGAGGGAGGGCGAGAGAGAGAGAGAGAGGGTTTTAGGGAAGAAGAGTAGACTGGAATGAGTAATGACGGCTGAAGGAAAGTGCCTCTGAGTGGTTTCAGCTTTCAGAAACAGGGGACTGAGTTAGGCCAACACCTTACGGCGGCACGTGGAATCGGGAAAAGCAAGCCAGGCAAGTTTTCCAATTAAAATATTTAATTTTATTAACTGAAATATTTAAAAAAACAAAAGAGATCATGTTCCAAAAATTTAAGATTACTAATTTGCCATCATTATCTAATCGACCAGGCCGGAAAAAAAAAATAATTATCTGATTGACTATTCTCTCTCTGTTTTTTTCCCCTATCATATCAAACACTTAATTTATTAAATTTATACAAATGTAATTAAAAAGTATATGCTTCAAAGATGTTAAAATACTGAGTAAAATAATAAGTTGGATCATTGTTCCAAGAGGTTATAAAATAAACTTGGACAAGACAAAATCAGGCAGAAAGATGTTACGCCATAAAATGAAATGTATTGTGATATTAACGTAGCATTAAACAGACTCAGACAATAGCATACGATGGATGGGGTTTATACAAATTATTGTCATCTTATAACTTGAAACAAAATCAGCATGCGCTCCATACAATAATAAACATTCTTAAAGCGTATTAATTAATTTATCATTCTGGTCCAAAAAAAATATTTTAACTCGTCATTGCAATGCAAGTATAATGTGGCATTAAATGGAAGGTGAAATTAAGAAAAATAGTTCTTATATAATACATAGGGTTTTTATATATTTTTTTATTTGATTGTTTTTCTTTAAAGACAAGTAAATAAGATCTGGGGGAATACAAGGTATGAAAACAAAATACGTTTTCTTTTTTTCTAAATTTAGGTTCTTGAAACTCTTACGGGCCGGGCTTTATGAGACAATGTTCCCATTTAGAGTATAATCCAAAACGGTTAAGCCCACATGTTGTGAGCCTCAAAACAAAAGCAAAAAGCCGCACCCATGGGCTGATCTCAATTCAAGAGCTCGCCAGAATATAAACAGCTCATAATTCAATTCGTAAGAAGTCAGCGGAGTAATTTATAAGATTATGAGTTCAAATCCTACTGGTAATATAAATTTCTTGTTATTACTCATTTACAAGTATCTGTGTAAGCACTTTAAACTTGAAGGCATACTCTAAATCTGGTGAGCTTTTCAGTACTTAGCTCCCTTAATCAAAATCAAAATCAAACTATTCATGAATTCCCAATACGCTTTTCAATTCTCAGCAAAACAGAACGAGTCATTTATCCTCAAAATAACCTCACTCAAATTCACAAAGTTCGCAAAACAGAAAAGAGCAAATCAGAATGATCGTTTAAGCAAAAGGAAAGGAGCGAAGCAGGGACAAGAAGCACGACAACTATAAGTTTATCATTTCATGCATTCGTGTTACATAGTGATAATTCTATTTTATTCATTAATTTATTAAACTGATATCATTATGCTATCATGATTTATTTATATATGTTTCAAAATATTAAATGGGTATTGAATAGATGTTATATGTTTTTATTTGCATGATTCATGGTTCAAAAATGTAGAAGAGGCCATGCATGATGATGAATTGCGAGAAATTCAAGGGGCATGTCGTTTTGTTCTTCGGTTGGGATAGAGTCTTTGATTGTGTTTAATTTGCACCCCTCGTTTTTCTTGAACAAGCAAGTTTTAAATAAAATTCTTTCAAAGCCATAATTTTTTTTTTTAATGAAAATATGTGATACATAAATCTCAACAAGACAATTTGGAAAACTCAAACCATGAAAATGACAATTAACTCTCCCAGTCAATCAAATTCCTTATAATAATAATAGCACCATAATACATATTACCTCCGATCTTTAATATAAGATTTCGTTTAACTTTTATTTTAATTCTAAATATAAGGCTCCAATCCACTTTATCTGTCATACTTATTCATTTTTTCCTATGATAGTCTTTTAAATAATAGTAGTTGTAGTCAATAAAATTGATTAGTAAGGATATTTTAGAAAAGACAATATTTATTTATTACAAATAACTAACTTAACTTATTTCATTAATCTATTCGAATTAATCAACTAACTCTTATATTTAGGACCGAAGGTAGTATATATTACATCTCTTCATAATGACACCGGTATAATAGTACAGGGAGAGTTGCAGCATTCAACGGCCTGATGACTCATATAATGAAGAGAAAGTTCGCTAATTATAAAGTACCCAAATCACAACTATGCTTCGCAGGGCACACAGTGAAAATTAATACCTAAGCACAGGTTCAGAAATTCTTACATAGCACTCTTCTTGTCCAGCGAGTTAGTACATCTACATAAATAAATATATATATATATATTCATAAACTGCTTACACAACCATATTTAAATCACATATATGCATTAGTGAAAGTGGACGATGGTGGATCATAAAGATTCTTGTTGGGGGTCATTCGGTTGGATATTATTGTTGTCAGTGAGGTCCTTGAGATCTATGTACATTCCACTTATGAAAGCCTTTGTTTCTCTGGTTGGTTCCTCTATGGCTTCCTTCAGCTTGCTCAGTGCCACGCAATATGCTTCCTGTTAAATAACAATACATTTATATACACATGTCATGATTGAGTTTGCATGCATGGCTTCAATTTGCTTCATAATATAATTAAACACAAGGTTTTTGATTAATTCGAATACTATATACTTACCATGAAGTGATCAAGCTCTGAAGAACTGGGACTAGTGGTGTGGTGGGATCTGGGCTTGGAATTCACTGACTGCTTCACTGCATCTTTTGCTGTGTCAAATTCTGCAGTTTCACCTAATCCCACCTGCTCAAATAATGCACACTGAAATCTCTATGCTGTGCATGTGCCAATTCCCATATATTAAGAATTTTATGTTCAGTTCCTAATATTGCTAATATATAGATCCTTTAAAATGACAAACCTAGTATATACAAAACCAAAACTTAAGCTGCGTGGTTGTTCAAAAGTATCCAACTTAAGCCAAACAAAAACCCATAACAACACACGTGCGTCCTAATTACTGGAACACCAAAGTGGAAATCGCCTTTTTCTTTAAGAGTATATATATCTTTCTATCCCTTTTTGTCATCACCATCTTCTCTTTTCTATTGCTTGCAGGCGTTCAACACACAAACGCGAAATTTGTCTTTGAAAATGAGCCTTTGAGAAATGGAAATGGGAAAGTTTTGAAGATGAGAAATGAATTATATATGAATTACCTTCAAACAGTTGAAGTGAGACTGGATCAGAATGCCATACAAAGGATGGCTTGCAATCATCTTCTTGAGACGAAGTTGCTCATCAGTGTCTTTGTCTCCTGTATGATCATTTCTGTCCACCACCACCTTTGGCTCTCCTTCGTTTTCACCATTAATGGCAGCTTCCATGGTCTGATATCTCTCTCACTCTCAACAGTCTGAGTCCAAGTCAGTGTCAGAAACACGAACACACGGTAAGCAATTATATTTTATATCTAGCAAATATATATACGACACATGAACGGAGCATGTGTGTGTATCAATCATCATTATTGATGCAATTGAATGTGTGTGTATCAATCATCATTATTGATGCAATTGAAGTGTTACTATCAAAGTGGTGCGTGGGGCTTCACTGCCCCTGGGTTTTGGATCTTTGTGCTGTTAATATTACCCTCTGGCCAGTAAAATAATTTGCACGACCATGTCAATGAATGAATCCAAGAGAGAGAGAACAAGGGAACACGATGAGGAAAAAAATCAAGAAAAAGCTGAAGGGATGAGAATTACTGTGAGGTCCTAAAGAAGGAACATAATCATCAAAAAGTTTCGGTACAAATAATAACAGAAATTCCTGCTCACTTGTTATTACTAAGACTTTTTAGGATTACATTTCTTTCTTAAAATCTCATAGTGATTTTGAAAAATTGCAGGGGAAAAAACAAGTCAAGGGTTTTGGTTGTATGATTAAAGGAGGTTTGAGAGTACTTGCAGGCAGTACCTCTTTTTGGACTTTTTCCTGTGAAACTGAATGATTTCACCTTTGTTTGACAATAAAGTTTGGTCTACCATTTACTTCTCTTATTGTTACATCGTTTTCCAGTTCGGAAACGACGACTAGTTACACCAACTCTTTAAGCAAACTTCGTCCCTTCAAGGACACACACAACCGCTAGCTCAGAGTAATATATATATATATATATATCTGTGTGTGTGTGTGTGTGCATATGTATGTATGTCAGCATTTTAACTTTCACTGCTGCCCAGGTTAAAATTCTGATGATATTCCAAAGGTTTCAACTAGCACATTATCACTGTCATTGCAGACTTCTTATTTAGCAGTCATTTTCAAAACCAAATTTACTCAGCAAGCTAAGAAATCACTGGCCACGGGTCCCCCCCCCCCCACAATTTGTTTAATAATTAATTTAGAAAAAAATTGTGGGTAAACTGAGATTTGATATACAAATGCTCTTCCGGTCCTAAATATAAGACCCAATTTATAGTATAAATTACACTATAAATTGGGTCTTATATTTAGAACCGGAGGAATATCATATTTTTCTTCATTACATTCCATTCGGCGTTGCGGAATAAAATTTGTTGCTACAAAAATACGTCAAGAAGTGTGTCTTCTTGGCCTCCCGGGTTTGATGATGAAGTCATCGGTAACGAAATTCCTCTGAAAATATAAATTTTTGTTTATATTTTTACTGTTTGTTTTATATCTTTTTTACCATAACTACTAGAGTAACCCAGGTGCATGGGAAAGAAGATGGACACGAACAATTCCTATAGATCATACCAGATTTTTTTAGTATTTAAGTTTTGCTTGATTGTACGAAGGTTTTTATTTAAACCAAAAAAAAAAAAGGCTACATGAAAGATATTTAGAAAAAATAAGAAGAATCGTACTAAGCTGGAGTAAGAAGTATAATAAAACTTATGAATAGTATTACGACGTGTGAATTATACATTTGATATTGATAATATATCAAGTCTATTTTTATATGAGAATATGGAAAGAGTTAGAATACTGGAATTGCGATGGCGGCACAATCTCAAGCTTTGCAAACAGATGGGAAGTAACTTGCACGTGTTACCCACGTGAGTCATTCCCCAGTTGTTTTTTTCCCCCTTGTTGAGCACAAGTATTTCCATAGTAGAAATAATTATATTTGAGATATTGTTGAGTATTAAATGTATACACTTTTTCTAATTTTAATTCGTCATTTTGTGAGGGACTTACACCTTTCATTAGACCCAACAAGCGTTGGTGTCATTTCCTAATTTTTCTTTTCTATAGACACAGGTATCTTCTTATTAAAAATAATTTTATTTGAAGTATTATTAGACATCAAACGTTTACGTATTTTTCAGTAGGGATTCGAAAAGATAAACATTATGTAATTCGAATTGCTTAACCTTTGGGCCGAGCTAGGCTTTAAGGCTAAAGCCAACCCAAGGCCCCAGTTATTTTTCAATAATTTCTCTTTGATGCTTGTTATAAGGATTATTGTTTTATATTTCTTAATATAACATATTTTGTTTTACGTATTAATTGTTTCCAAATAATATGCCTGACTAACTATAAGATTTATTAACTAATTAACCAAGCTTCTCTACTCTAACCAACTAGTTTTATTAAGAATAATTTTGATATTTTATAAGAACTAACTGATTTTAACTTTTTTTTTTTTTACTTGCATAAGGTAGTTGATTAAAACATATAAAAATTATCAGAAATAATAATAAACTAATTATAAGTGGGATTGAGGAGCTTCATGGAATTCTATCATGCTTGTAAATAATTGATCGCCCATATTTAAGAATAACTGCGCACGTTGGCCCAAAAAAAAAAAACAAAGAATAACTGCGTACAAGTCCTAAATGGAAAAAAAATTAATCACTCTCAGATCTAACTATTTGTAGATACAAAAGCTTAAATTTGTATTAAAAAAGCTTAATTTTTTTCATATGGAAAGTGTTTATAATTCTCCCTACTTTTTTTTAATAGATAAATGGATATTCATTAATAGTGGTATTAATTTTTCCATCCTTGAGAACAGAACGAATCTCCTAATGTACATTGCTTCATTTCCGCTTAAGTCTTATCAAAAAAAATAAAATAGAATTGGAAAAAAAATTTGAATATTCATGAGCATCAAACGGAATTTCACTAAATGGGCCAGAAGGCCCATTTCAGTACTGAACTAAGTAACTAACCCATCGTGTTTGTATTTCCAAAATAAACGCTCTTTTTTTGTCGGATAAATAAGGAATCCCCGACAGTATTAAAGTAATAATAAAAGAACCAAGTTGTGCCGGAATTATTGACCATAAAATCATATGGGAAAAGAAAAAAGAGAGAGAGAAGGGGAATGGTCCGTCCAGATTTGAAACGACTTTCACCATCCGATATGATAATTACAAAATATTTTAAATTTTGTCTACTAATTTTATTGATCATCCATTGGTTTCAAAGACGGAGACTTGCCAAAGAAGGAGCGGAAAATGGCAGCCATTCGTAGTAATTTGAATATATACTTCTCCTCATCATAACTATCTCCAAAGAAAAAAGAGCCCACAAATCTTGACCAATCTTAAACCAGAAGAAAACACATAAAGTATTATTATAATAATAATAGCGATAAACATTAATTGAATCAAAATCATACGAGATAGACATATGATTAGATAATTTTTACTGCCAATTATTTTTTTGAAGTACGAAGCAGGCCAGAAAGGAACAAAGGAAAACTAAGCGTTTGAATTGATCACGTGCCAAAAGAGTCATAATGCTTATGCTTTTCAGATCATAAATGGGTTTATGTTATAATGAATAGAAAGGATATATAAATATTAAACGAGGTGAAGGGAACAATAACAGGCCATGAACTACCAGGGTTTGGTCGAATCCCATCCAGTCCATCAGGCTGCTTTATTAATTCCAACTTTTGGCGATTAATGTTTTTGGCAATCTATTTAGAATTCATTTTTGGTACACCCACTCTTATCCAGTTGTACCTTTTTATTCTATTCAATTCACATGCTTTGATGGCCACTTCCAACTCCCAGTGTTTGATGGCCATTATTCTTTTTTTATCAAACATCTGTCTTCACTTGCAAAGTGCGTGGAGTTCATTAACTGAAAATGTCTGTATTTTTTAATTTTGAGAAAATGAAACTCTTAGTATGTGTTTGGATCCCATGGGGGAAAACACAGTTTTTAAGCAGAGTGTTGGTTTCCATGAGCATTTACCCAAACACCTAAAGTTGTTTGCTCCGCGCATTATTTCTTGCGCGTTTTTCGAAGGACTATAATATAAAATTATAGGGGTATGATTAGCAATTAACGAATCACATGGACTAAATTGATAGTTAAGAAAAACTCAGTGATCAAAAGTTCTATTTTTTTCATTCATTTTTTTTCGTAAAAGGAATTGCCAATAATCATGTGTCTCCAGAGCTAACGATTTGAAAAAAAAAAAATACTACCTCCGGTCCCTAAGACAAGACTCTGTTTGACTTTTATTTTGATCTTAAATATAAGATCCCAATCTATTTTGTCTCTCATATTTATACATTTTTTTTTCAAAGTAGCCCTTCTAATAATAAGAGTTCAAGTCAATACACTTCATTAGCAAGGATATTTTAAGAAAGACAATACCTGTTTATGACAAATAACTAACTCAACTTACTTCCTTAATCTCTTCAAATTAGTCAACTGACTCTTATAATTAGGATCGGAGGTAGTACATTAAATAACTCTTTCATCAACCCTTTTAAGAGAATTGCATCATCCTAAAAAGTATATATACGTTAAAAATGCTATGCGTGGTGTTTTTTTTTTTTTTTTGCCAACCATGTGAGGTTAAATACTAAATAGTAGTAATGTGAAAATAATGGTTTATAACAAGACGTAAATTAAATACTCTGCATGTTGGCCCCAAAAAAAAAAAAAGTCTGCGTGCTGCCGCTCGTGAGCGCAATCAAGTGGCGTAATGCGTTCCGCGTGGATATAAGTATTTAACAATGGTTGTACGTGAGACACGTGTCAATAAATAATTGGTGAACGTGGACTGGGGACATTTCCACCCTACGATATAATGGAAAGCTGAATCCGTAAATATAAAATGTAATGGTACTAATATGTGACAATAATTTGTTGAGCCCCTCATGAAGCCGAAGGGCCATAATTCCCCAAATATATATTATGCTAATTAATAATTAAGATTAATATAATATTTAGTCCCTTAAATTTCAAGCTATAAATTTTGGTCCCTCAACAAAATGGTCTAAGTTTTGATTAAATTATAAAAATTAATATTTTAAATGAACAGAAATTTAAGCCACCAAAATATATGGTTTGAAAATGAAAGAAATAAAATCAAAATAAAAGTAAACTTAAATGACTAAAATTTATA